ACTTTATTGAAATCACCCTCATCTAATTAGAGCAAGCAGCTGATGAGAGCAAAGAGGGACGGGAAGTAAGGTTAGATTCCATTATGCAAGGGTGAAGTCACCGTTGTATCAACTGAATGGGCGAGGCTGCGGAAAGGTGAAGGCATGGCTGTGTGTGTGTGTGTGTGTGTGAGTGTGAGTGTGAGAGAGAGAGAGAGATAGTGTACAGTTTCAGTCGCGACCTTTACTGTTATTGCAGCATGGATGTGAAGATGGACTCTAATCTGAGTCTGTTATTAATCTGTTGAGTTGAGGGTTTGTGTGGTTACTTCAGAGTATTATCTGACTGTATTGAGGGTTGGGCAGCCTTTAAACTGACGCTATGCTCTCCCACTGTTTCAAAATGTGTAAATGTTCATGACATTTCAGTGTAGTAACTGAACACAGACTACAAGTGTATGCAAAAGTGTGGGCACCCCTTTACAAATAACAGCGTTTGGTGATTTGTTTCAGTGGAAACGATGTAAACACAGCCTCTCTATGATATGGAACATAAAATACAATATTGTCAACAATTAATGCGTCGTTACATTTTGTACATTGTCAGTATTTAATAACAACCTCCTCTGTCAGCTATCACAGCTTGCAAATGCTTGTTGTAGTGAGCTTAAAGTCTTTCAATTCTTGTATTTGGAATTTCATTTCAGCTCTTGAAATAGTTCATGATGAGATATGTTTAGGACCATTAGAAGCAGAAGCCATCCTCTTACAGCTTCAGTGATTTTTTTTATTAATTTTTTTTTTTTACAGATGGTGTGATGTTTGCTTTCAGAATTTGCTTGTATTTAGTAGAAGTTATTCCCTCCACCTGCGCAGTGTTTCCTGTCCCACTGGCTACAACTCTGACGCATGATACATTCACCCCCGTGATACATTCTTGGTCTTTCAGATCTCGTCTTGTCTTCCAGAGTGTCCCTAAAACTGCCATCTCTTAATTATACTTCACACTGTGGAAACTGCATTCATGTTTGCTGAAAAAACTGTATACTAAAAAAGGTTGTGTTAACATCTTTTCAATTAAAGAATGATCTATGTGGCAAAACTTTTGCATAGAAATGTAGTATTATTATTATAGTAATTGTCTTACCACTGTGGTGTGTTAGTCTGGAATCAGCTACATTGAGGTAGTCCAATCAGTAGAGAAGAAAATCTGCAGCAGACTGTTAAGAGAAGGTACTTGAAGTGTCACCACATTGCTATGAATAGCCATCATGATGGGTGTGTTTTCCTGGGAGTAAAAAAGGGGAACACTTGCAAACTCGTGGCCATCACACAGTCATTCAGCTGGGGGGAAGCAGGAAGCAGGCATTGTAAAAACTGTATCAATGTGTTTCAGTCAGTTGCCAATCTACTAATGCAGTTTAATACAACAGACCGGCAGTAAATCATCTCTTCATGAAGGTTATAATGTTGAAACTTTTTTAGAGTGGTCTTGATTCAACTGTACGATCATTTTGGGGGCTGTAGTTTGTGATGATAACCTAAATAATGTAGTAATAATAATAATAATGTATCATAAATGTATTATACTGCATTGGGAGTGTTTGTATATTGATAATACATTTTGATCCCAAAACACATTTTGTTTGTGTGTGTGTGTGTGTGTGTTTTTCAGGTGTCAGTCTACTTGCCACTCTTTCTATGTACTTCATCCTGAATGCTGGTCCAGGAGGTACACACCACAGCATGTTATTGTGAAGAGAGAACATATTAGGTAGGTTGTCCCACATTTTTTGTTTCATAGAGGATGTGTGACAAGGGCGAACAGCTCACCCTATGTCTGCTGTTTATCTCTTATGCAAAAGCTGGAAGAGTTGCATTCCTCATTTTGGCTTTCACTAGCGAAAAGGAGGCAGTGAGTTGTACACTATGACTAAACTGTTTGTACCAGAGAGCATTTACTCGAGAAGTCATTTGCCACCTGGCTAAATGTTTTGTAATTACTTGCCAGAATTTTTTTATTTTTTATTTTTTGAAGTGTTGAGTTGAGTTCTAATATATACACGCAAGTATAATGACGAGAAATGGAAAACAAGCCTTCAAAGATAGTTTGGGAGGCTTGTTAAAAGGAGCTGTGGAATAACTAGATTTTTTACACAACATGAATTACTAAAATAGCATAATTGAGACTGTTCACTTCAGTTTTGTGTCAAATAGTGTAATGAGTTTAGAGCTGGGAGAAGCAACCTTGTGGTGTTTTTTTTGTGTTGTTGTGGATATTGCAGGTTGAGTGTTTACTTTGTACAGAGTAAGCCATAGAAATAAAAATAATAAGGCATGTATTGGTTGTTTTTGTAATATAATTGGCCATTAGAATTTTATTCAGTTTTGTCAACATTCCCACCCAGGGGTGGTTTTATTTTTGTTTACTTACTGTTTTCAGCTGGACATTAGGTTGACCATTAAGTTGTTTGGCCCATTCTGGAGATGTGACAGTGAAACATAAAATCACTTAGTAAATCGAAACCCATTTCTTTCAGGAATATTTTTGGCTTGGTTTTATCAAATGTTCCTTTACTGCAGATGCCAGCCCATGCTGTGACCTAATATGTGATGACCCTGCAAAGTGATCTGAGCAGGATGACACTGAGGGGACTGCTGGTTATGTACGTCAAAGAGGAGACAAGAAGGGAGATAAGGGGAGGAGGGGAGAGAGAGAGATTGAGAGCGACCAGTGGCTCTTGTGTTGCGCCCTTTGACTGGGAAGGGCAGACAGCTGGACAAGCAGCTGGTGTGGCTTTAATGGGCCTCCCTTCATTGAGCACAGTAAAATCAATACGCCTTGAATTAGCCAAGAGTGTTTGCTACCCTCTTACGGACGATATTAAGTCTTTTTTTTTAATTAAACGGAAAAACAGTATGCCATTCAGTGCTGCTGTTGTGTGGTAAACAAGGCTGTTTGTTATTGAATACACTTGTTAAAGTCAAATTGACAGAGGCACCCCGTGGCAGGTACGCATAAACCTTCTACAAATGGCATCGCCGAGCTGTGTTCACTTGTCAGGTGACATTTCTCTGCATCACTGTAATATTTCTTGACATTTTTTATCGACGAGATTCATAATAAGGAGAAACGGCCATGTACTAGAACATTTTTCTTCAGCTTCTGTTTCTTTTGCGATCAGTTAATATACTAGGTGATGCTCTTAACAGTAGCCTCAGTCATTTTTATGTGTGTAGTGCTATCAGCTGAGGCAGTGCTTTCCTCTAGCCTTGATCTTTGTGATGTAGAAAAATGTCATTTTTTTCAAGGCAATTCAGCTGTGCTCGCATCATTTAGCATGCTGTCATGTCAGTAAGAGTGGCAGGTGTTTATTTTGTTCACTCCATGGTTCACACTCTGCTTATTTGCTGACAAACGTCTATATTTCCAGTGTTTTCATGGTGTTTGTTGAGTAAAAGATCGAGAAAAAATCATGCTTTCTAAAAACATGAACATGCCTGGATCTGTCCTGATCCCAATCAGATGGAGACCTCCCTTGTCATGTTGTTATGCACAATGGAGAACAAACCTGCTGTTGTTTATTTATGAGGAGCTGTACTCATAATGTGTGTTTCATATTAAAGGAACAATCTGTAATTCCTGGCCACATGCTCCAAAGAAATAGGGGGCATCATTTCACCTCCTTACACCCTAATAAACCATAGAAATTCTCCTCAGCTCCTCCAGAGGATGGATGTCAGTGCATTTGTCTCCATTCAGTACAATTCAAGCTGATGTACTATTGAGGCTGGGTCTTTCTGGCAGCAGGGTCAAGTTTACCATAAAGACTGACCCATAGACCCCTAAAAATGTGCATAGATTTAAAATCAGTACCAAAAGACCTTTTTCACAGCAACCATTTTGACATGAAATAGGAGTGTAAACACTGGCGTTACCAGTGATACTACTACTACTACTCATTATTCAAAAGAATAACTTACTCTTGGAGAACTTGGCGTGTTACCAGCCATGACAAGCCTTATCCAACTGAATTATAAGTGCTGCTTTAAAATTAAATACAGTGTAATGTATGATCTAAATCAGGTCCTAAAGCCAGTTGTTTGCACAAACCCGCTGCATAGCCACCCTCTTATTAACTTGCCTGGCTTAGAGCATAAAAAGATTTTAATAGAAATCATTTATACTGTAATATAATGTAGATTTCTTTAGCATTTAGCTTCAGGTTTAGCTTTTTAACTGGATCTCTGTTTTTCTGGCTGTCAAGAAGATATCTTTGCTTTGGAGTTTCAGCTCTGCAGGCCTAAAATGTCTCGTCCCCTTTGACATTTCCATTTTGCAAGCAATTTCAATGACATACACTGGCGTGGACAGTTTTTGGATGCAAGTAGAAACAAACAGCAGCGTGGTGTTTGGAAGGGCGCCTGGTTGGCTAGTCAGCTAAAGACTGAAAGCTTAGCTCTGCACCACCCATCTCACTGGAAATGTCTCATTTGATTTAAATGCTTAGTAAAAAGGAAGCAGTCGTTTGGCTCAAAGCATTATCTCAGAGTTTACCGGAACATCACACCCACGAATGCAATAAGTACCTCTACCTAACAAATCTAGTTAATTGTGTGTTTTTTAAGAATGAGAAAATAATTGGTGGCTGGTAAGGTTTAAAAGAACTACAAGGTTGTTCTTTCAGCTGTGTCACTGACTTTAATTTCAATGAGGAATTTTACTGCTATGTCAGTACATTCTCATCTTAGCTACACCCTTTTTCAGTTGAATATGAAATGCATCCTGTATCTTCTATCACCTCAGAATTGTGTGAAATTCTTCTGGGTGGTTTGCTCTCTTATCCAGATAAGATGGCAAGTCCTGCCTGCGCAGTAGTAAGGGAAATAATGATCATTAATCTGGTCTGTAGTACTTAATGAATGAATTTCAAACTAAGTCTACTGCTATAAATTAACTGTAGATATCTTATGTGTTTCATTGTGTGGTAACTTGTGGCGGTATCTAATCTTTAAAATAAAAAACAAAGGTGTTTGGATCTTTTGTGTAATATGGAAACAAAGAATCGATAACAAACTTACAGATATGACATTCGATTTTTCTAGATATCTGATATGCAAATCATTTCCAGCTCATTCTGGCTGTTGCTTAAACTCTATGATATATAATAACTGAAGAAATTAGATCAAAAATAGGATAACAGCTTGCAACTCAGGTAAAGTCTCCGCTTAAAAATAGCTGCGACTGGGCATCATGTAGCACCAGATCAACGTAGTCCACAAATCCCGACATCTTGAACAAACAAAAATAGCTGAACAGTGCACTCCAAGAGCTTCTGGTGATGGCTTTGGCCCTGGGGTGGTTGCAGTCATAC